AAACACTCATATTTCAAACTGGTTCTCTCTTTTATAAAGCAATCGCATTTAGGGCTAGCATATTTCAGGAAGTCAACTTAAGAAAGAATTGAGTTATATATGCTATCGTTTTCTGCAGCTACTATTCCATTTGTATGTGAAACTCCGATCTCGTTACCTAGGCTATTTAAGAAGTTATGGATGGGGGGCTCGACCCTATTAAGCTGGCATTTCAGGGTACTATTTTATATATATATAATGAAAATTTGAAAGTAGGTGGCGGGTCGAGCACCCCCTGCCCCTACCTGGCTACGCCCATGTACATATATAATACGCGAAGGGATTTTTTGTGCAGCATAAAATATCTGTACCGTTCGACCGATTTTCAAAAATGAGATGTCATCTTAAAGCCCTGGTCTGTAGATGTGCAATAACGTTTTACTTTTTCGGAAAGAGAGTGCCACCTGATAAACAATTGCATTCAAATAATTTAATAATCAATGCCATCAGATCCAAACCGTTCGTTCGATTTTCAAAAGTGAGGTGTCAAATCAAAGGGCTCTGACTTGGAATAAGGTTTAACTTTTTCGAAAAGAGTTGCCGCCTTTTCAAAAATTTTGTTCAAAATAATACGCGAAGGAATTTTTGTTCCGCATAAAAGATCAGGACCGTTCGATTTTCAAAATTAAGGTGCCAAATCAAAGGGCCATCTTTTAAAAAAACTTAAGTTCAAATTATTTAAAAAGCTAAACCAATTATTGCAAAATGGGCATAAATGGAAATAGTTTTGAATATCTTTGTTTCTTAACTTAACTTTATGAGGTTTTCCACCAGTTAAAGAAACAAATCAAAATGATAAACCATCTTCGGTGAGAGGCCCCAACGATTACAAGTGGCCCACTCTACAGCAATATGAGGCTACAAACGCCTTCTTTACACTTTCCTTCACGATTGGCTTCCAAGATAGTCAGGATTAAATCCAGATATTTCACCTTGTCAGAGAGCATAAATGGAATGCCACCCAATTATGTGAGCTCGGCTTTACAAAGGCTAATGAGTAGTCCGAAATTCTCAGCCAAATTTACAACCAAATTCAGATAACCTTCCATTGATGCGTACTAGGTGCCTAAGGCTTTACGCTAGCAATAGCTCCTGACTCATCCGTATTCGCAATTAACCAATAGGCCTTCCTTTCCAGAGTCTCCAACAGGTTATTGACGACAACGAGCCAGAAAGTGGAAATAGGGCTCCTCTTGTAGCGTACCTTAACTTTATCTTCTCTAGGTAGATGCGCTTCCCCATAGCAAGCATTACATAAAGCGTCAAAGTCAATTTGAACGTATTTAGGCGGGAGAGAGTGCCTAGCCGAGTTGTCCATGGACTAGTTATGCTGATTTAAGGACGAATGCATCCTAATAATTCTGTTTCTGACATGCAGCTCAAACAATCTTTCAAGGATCTTTAAAAAAATCGATGAGACTGATTAGTTTAAAATCTTTGGGAATGCATGGTGCTGCGTACTTTGGGTATAATAAGTAAATATTGTATATATGTACGAGTATCATGCTTCATATTGTAAATACATTCAAAACATTGGAGGTTTATATATACAGAAGGTTTAACTCTTGTT